AAATTACAAATGTCAAAATGACATGACATGATGACAACCTTGCTTCCTTGATGTTGGCAGCAACTTATGGTCTCTTTCCAACATAGGGTTTTTATCCAAAATATTTACCCCCACGTTTAATGGCGTGAAAATAGCCTAAAGCGTGATGTAAGTTTAGGGCTTTTTATTAAAAAAAATGTTTAAAAATATGCTGTAATTGCTGACATCTTAGGCAACAAAGAAGTGTGTGTTTACGCTTTATTACAATAGTATATATATATTTATTTTACAATTATTGTCCACAGGTATCATGGCTACTCGTTTCCTTTTTTTACACCGTCGAAGTGGTCCTAACATCAGTGATCATATCTGGGTTTTGTTGCTGTGCAACATTGGCTGTACCTATTTACGTCAATGAGGTTTGCGAGGACTCGATACGAGGCAGTATGTGTTCCGGCGCTATGGTCTTCTATGGTTTAGGGATGCTGGTATCTTACCTAATGGGAGGATATATGAGTTATGACGCTATGAACTACGCTTGCTTGGCTATAACTATACTGGGAGTTGTACTGCTATTATTTTTAAAGGATTCGCCTACTTATTTATTGAGTAAAGGACGTGATAAGGTAAATCTTACTTCTTACTAATATTATAAACTAGCTATTGCCCGCGATTTCGTCCACGCAATATTAAAATAAAAAGTAGCCTATAATATACCCGCCTATGTCAGCTACCCTTCAGTGAAAGTCCGGTTTACCCGCCGACTTAGCCCAAGACTACCCGAAACAAACGCGGACAGACGCACTCAACGCAAATACATCATCTTTCCGAAACCTGGATTTTTTTTTGTTATTACAGACACTCTAATTTTATTATATGTATAGATGCGAAAGTAAGATGCTTGTTAGAGTGTGTAGCCTATATTGCTGAATGGATCTCATTGAAATTTAGCATAGATGTAGAGGACAGTCTGGAAGAACATAGGCTACGTTCTTTTGTTTTTTTATTTAATCTGGACTGAGTCACGGGCGAAACCTAGTAGTATTTATAGATGTTTATAGTATCTAGTCTTGACAAACAGCTCTTAAATGGAGTCCTACGTATAAAGTCTTTGAGTTTGAGTAAATTTATTTTGGTGTGCAGTTTTGTATTGTTGAATGTAAATATTTTCAAAAATATTTAAATGAAACTCTTAACATGCAATTTACTTCTATTATAACATACACAGAAAGTACTCTTAGAAAACGCAATTAATGTGTTACGATTTCATACGAAATAAGAATTTTATGACTTTTTGGATAAGAATGCCCATCGCATGACACTTACTTCATCAAATTTAGTACTGCTGTTTACCTTACAATCACATACACGAGAAATAACGCTATCTAGTATTATGATAACATTAATACGCGTGCCTAAAATAAAGCTGACAAAGATAATAGTGATTATCTTTGTTTAATAAAGACTTTAAAGAGAAAAATACGAGAGCGTCAAACTGTCGCCGTTCAGACATATGTGACAATTGACGGCGGTACAGTCAACTGCATAAATATTCATACACAAGTTTATATCTAGTATTTCTATTGGTAGTCTTAAAGTTTTAATGCTCAAATGGTAATGAAGCCTTTACCTTACAGTGGTAGAGCCCGCTTTAACATCTTTGCACGAATGAGTCGGCTCGCTCGGTATACCACGAGCACACAGAAGACAGGCGTGAAGTGGTAGAAATTCCGCGTTTCGTCTAATGAGTGTGGTACCGAAGGCCAAACTTGAGTCCCTTTTCGTTTCCACCCTTTTTCTTATAAGAAAAAGATGGAAAAAGAACGTGGTTTGACGGTGCAGGTGACGCATAGGAAGGGGAAATGTCCTCTTTATGTGCATCTCCTCCTCCGATTAAGGCCAGGCAACGCATCTGCATTTGCGGATGTCTACGGGCAACGATCGCTTCACCATTTCGGCGGTCTCAGGGGGCCGCTTGCTCGTTTGCCACTTTATGTTTTTAACTATGAATACGTAAAACGAATTTGAGTAAACTTATTTTTGTCTATACATAATACATAATCTGTACCAAAACATAACCTAAAGATTGTAAACAAAATGGAAATTTCGGCTAAATATCAGAAACCGTAGTTGACTAATACTATTCAATAATTTAACTTTATTTCTTCTTTGTTTTTTTAATACCACGCGGAAGGAGTCGATATCCACTCTACAATAACTATTAATAAATTCTTGCAGGAGGCAGCTCAAGCCATTGCTTTCTATAGAGGAACGAAGGTAACCTCCAAAACTGTTGAAGAGGAACTACAGGCGTTGAGAATGACTTTAAACGCAGCGTTAGATGGTAAATAACGTTTAACGAAAAAAGTTACAAATTTTGCTTTCTGCCTTCTTAGAAAAAAATAATTTTCAAATGTTTTGTACTAAAGTTACAAGAGCTTCTCTTCCTCGACTACAAGTATTTCAAATCGTTCTTTTTACATGAAAAACAAACGAAAGGCGAAAAGGTTTTTTTTGTTTTATTCTACAGGCATGGGCGCAGTTTTTGAAACTTGTACGAAAAAAGTTGGTGTAAAAAATACCAGTTTTTAGCATCTTATATTTTTCTTAACTCTTACACAAAACGGCCAGTAATATTAAAACATTACTAATAAAAAAAAACATTTTAGCGATAGTTTTTACTAAATTGATATTATTTTTATTAGTATATATTTTTCTTTTGTAGATGACGTTTCGACACCCGAGGAAGAAAAGTTAAACGCAGACCTCAAAGAAAGACCAAAGGAATCAATATGGAGTTTTCTAAGTAAGTATACTTCTTAATGGCAAATTACCGTTTACATAGATGACCGAAAGCTTGAAAAATAACTACAAACTGTTGTTTCACCATTAAAAAGCTACGTTATCACTGGGCAAAATTTGTATTTTTTATTTATTTTTTTTTATTCCACAGAGAAGTCTCGGTCAACTCGTCGTGCGTTATTTGTACTGATAGTCCTGTATACGACATCCATCTTCCAAGGCTTGATGGTAGTGCAAGTGTATGCTGAACCATTATTCGCGGAGGCTATACCGACCATGTCACCAACAATCTGCAGTGTTATTTTTGCCGTTGTTATGGTTGTCGCTGGATTTTTTGCCGCGTATCTTGTTGAAACGGCGGGAAGAAGGGTAATTATTTATATAAACCTATGCAACCTTACAAATAAACGCGGTATTACGTTAAACTTATGTACTAATATTTCCTTATACTCAGTTTATTCCTAAGTTTAATTTTATATCGCGATTTGTAAGGCTGATGCAGTATTAAAATCGAGATAAGTTGCTTGTTTGCTTAGACAAACTAGGACACTAAATATTTGAAATAAAAGGTAACGTAGAGCGGTATACTGAAATGAATTTTGTCTTACTAGATGTCAAAATTTTAATGTAATTTGGAGTTAAAGCGTGGCTTTATCGTTTGAGGTGTAACATATTTAGATGACGTTTTAAACTTTCTAAAATACTGTTTGGTTTCGCTTTGATTTCTTTGAGCTTATTATATTTAGTTGGGCAACTAAACGGTTGAGGCAAAACAATCGACAATCGCACAACATTTGTGCTATCGTTTAGTCAAAATTGTGCCCGCTCTTATTCTAATTGCCCCATTCGTCACTAATTACGTTATTTCGATTTCAGCCACTAATGCTGTACGCGACATTCGGCTCTGGTATTTGTTGCATTCTACTAGGCACTCAGATCCACCTGCACTGGGGTCCGCATTGGTTAACCGCGTGCATCATTTACGTGTATGGAGTGGTGTATTCCTGTGGAGCTGGGACTGTGCCGTTTGTGATGGGCGCTGAGATATTCTTACCCGAGGTAAGTATTAAATAATTTTGGCAAGTAGGCAGAAGTCGCCTCCTGCAGGGGGTCATATAAATTATAACCCCTTCTAGATCTATCTATGGGGTCTATCTATATGACCCCCTGCATGAGGGAACTTCTGCCTAGGCTAGAGCCTAGACATAGTCTGGAGTGTAAACAATATCTAAGTAAATTATCATTCGGTTTGAATTCTTCACCCAATTTATATCTATAGAAATTTTTGTCTTTAACTTTAGTAAAATATAACTGGTACCTGATTGTAAAATATACGGAAACGTATATAAAAAACTTACCAATAGATATGTATTCTATCTTCATTTATCTCTAGCTTTCGCCCGCGACTCCGTTCGCGTGGAATTTAATAAAAAGTGAATAACCTACGTGTTTGTCCAGACTGTACTTCTACATCTATGCCAAATATCATCGAAATCCATTCAGCCCTTTAAGCCACAAACTCTAACAAACATCTGTCCATTCATCTAAACTTTCACATTTACAATTTTAGTCAGATATTGGAACAACAATAAAGAATTTCGCAGTATTCTGGCTTTACTAGCGCCCTGGGCGAGTTATGAGGAAGTACCGCGGATCTAGGGCGTCTTTCGCCCTGGGCCTAACGCGCCCAAACCTAATGCGAACTGGTATTTAGTGGCCACTAAAACTACCCTTTAAATTTCAGATACGCAGTTTTGCATCGATGTTATCAGTGGAGTGGTCTCTCTTATGTGGATTTGTGGTCCTCTTTTTATTCAATCCGTTAGTAACGGCGATAGGATTAGGTCCTATTTTCTACATATTTTCTGTGGTCTGCTTTGTATCTACGATATTCTGTTACTTCTGTCTACCGGAGACTAAAGGATTGTCCGTCGATGCGATACAATTGTTATTTGCTAAACCACGTCGACGTAATTTAACGGCCTAGTTTTTTTAATAAATTATGATAGCGATATTTGACTTTTTATTTATTTTTGCCATTGACTTCATCGGAACAAAAATAAGGTTATGTGTTCTTCCAGATTATTCTATCTGTGACAAAAGTCATCGAAATCTGTTAGTCTGGAGATATAGTAACATCCATCCATCCAAACTTTCGTATCTATATTATAGTTTGTCTAAATAAGATAGATTAGTTGGATAAATGAGGCATATGAAGTATCGAAATCAATTTGTATGAATGCAAATGCCGTACTTAATAGACAGGTATCGTAGTGACGAAACAAACACGCAGCGAACAATAATGAACTATCGATATTCGGTTTAAATAATTATCGTATTAATTATAATTAACTAATTTAGAGGACAATTCTAGTATTGATAATAGTGTAGAGAATTTAGCGATGACCGAAATAATAGCGAAATCCAATTCGATTACGTACGGCTGTAGTAGTAATAAACATTTACTCTCATTATTTATAACGGTTCTGCAGATCAATATCGATTTGAGAAAATAGTGTTTTTTTTTATTCATAACTTATAACTATGAATCTATCGATTCCAACTTCTATAAGATTAAAAATCGAAAATCGATAAGATTCATGACTGATTTTACACAACATTCTACTCGCGACTAAATTTACGTACGAAATTTGAAATGAATTGTCAAACTAATGTATCTTATTTAGACAAACTATTGTATATATTTTTAATGTTATTTTGTTAGGGAGTTTAAATAAAAATGTCCGAAGTGAAAGAAAATTTTATTTTAAATATAAAACTGTAAAATTAAACTTATATAATTAACTAAAATCAGATATAATTAATTTTCCTTACTAATATAAATCATTAAATTATAACATAGTAATCATTCATTCGGTCTTTTAGTGAATGACATTTTATTCTAATAAATTTCTTCTTCACTCTCTATCGGTATAGATTTTAGTCCGCCATCTTTCTTCTTAGTTCTTATTCTGTAAACAAAACATATTTTTAATAACAAAAAGAACTGAATACACCGGTAGAGGTAGACGTAGAAAGAGATGGATGTATATAACTAGCTGTTCCCGTGCGGCTTCATCCGCATGAAATTATGGAAATTTTATTTTGTTTACATTCACTTCACTTCACTTTTGTGTTAATGGCGTTTCCATAGAGATTTCGCCAATTTGTTTACATTCGTCAAATTGTCAATATCAAATGTCAAAATGATATGACATGACAAACCTTGGCAATCTTAAATTTCTTAATGTTGGCAGCAACTTATGGTCTTTTTCCCACATTAGGGTTTTTTATCCAAAACATTTACCCCCGAAGTTTAATGGCGTGAAAATATATAGCCTAAAGCGTGACGCAAGTGTAGGGCTTTTTATAAAAAGAGAATTATTCAAAAATATGCTGTAATTGCTGACATCTCAGGCAACAAAAAAAAAGAAATGTGTGTTTACGCGTTATAAAGAACCCACTTAGTGATGGTCAACTCGAGTTCGTAACTCGAGTCAACTCGAGTTGGGCGTAACTCGAGTCGACTCGAGTTGAATTCTCTTTAACTCGAGTTCGAAAACCGAATGGAACCGACATGGAGCGAAGTTTGACCTCTGTGAAGTTAGCCCCCTCGCTTCCCTTTTTTTTACTTTTTTCGTGCAAATCGTTTAAAAATTGTTAGAGAGGGTTAAAATCGTTTGAGAGTTCCTCCGTAAAAGCAATTTAAATTTTTAACGTGATGTTGGCCCCCATACTGCTTTTTTATTATTTTTTATCGTACAAATCGGTAGAGAATCGTTGAGAAAAATACTGCTGTATAATTTCAGTTTACTTGACAGTAAATTTTATTTTTATTTAAATTCAAGCCAAAAATACTTGAAAAACGATTCGATTTGAAATAATAACTTTTTTTGTTTCTTTATTTAGTAGGTATAACTCTCCCAATACATTTTAAATAAATAACATAAAAAATAAAGAATTAAATCAGATAAATATATAATTTGTCTATATTCCAATTTTATGCCAAGTCGAGGGAATAATTTGGAAAAAAACTCAAAAAAACATTTACTTGTCCATCCAGTTAACTCGAATTCAACCCGAGTTACGTGGATTTTAACTCGAGTTACGTTTTTCCCGAGTTGGCAGTTGGCACATCACTAAACCCACTCGACTATTAAAGTGAGAGTAGTTACAAAAAGAGATTAAAAAGTAAGTATGAAAATTTACCGATCTTACGAAGTAACGGTGCAGCGCACGCCCGCGGACCAATACCCCCGCTCACACAACCATAGCGCGTTGCAACATACTACTAGCGACATCTAGTATTTTATGCACCATTATTTTCTAATTTTTACAATTTCTCATTTAATTATAACTCTTTTATTTTCATATTATACAAACTGTTGCTCGCGACTTCGTTTGCATGAAATTTAAAGATATATCCTATGTTGCGATAACGTAGCTTTTTATGTTGAAAATCGACTCGGTAATTTTTAATTTATTTCAATACATACAAAAATACAAATTTTTCCTCATTATAATATTAGTATAGATAATTTATAATTATTTTTAATTCCACTACATACGTTCAGTTTTAATTTAGAACTTTCAACTGAACAATAAAATTGTACAATGAAAACTGACGTGTGCAGGGAAAATTTTAATCATTTAACATATATAGATATAGGATATAGAGGGGATGATTTTTACGGACGGATCACAGGTTTTATGGAGCTTTTTCCTATAGTTTACGCGAAAACTATGTTGCAAGATTTTCTATACTTTTAAAAATTTCCTAGCTTCTGTAAAAAAATCATAAAAACTAGATTTTCGATTAATATTTGTCCGTATGTCCAAAATAAGAATCGGGCTTTATTTATATCATAAGATGGCAAACTAGCAAGCGGCCACCTGAATCCGCCAAAATGGCGAAGCGACCGCTGCCCATAGACATCCGCAATTGCAGCCTTACTCGACGGAGGAGGAAACGCACATAAAGATGTTTCCCCTTCCTATGAATCTCCTCCATCGTCAAATCCACGTTACCTTCCCATCCTTTCCTAATAGTAAAAGGGAGGAAAGAGAAAGGGACTAAAATTGGGCTTCTAGAACCACTCTTCCACCATCAAATCCACTTTTCCTTCCCATCCTTTCCTCTTAAGAAAAGGGTGGAAAGGGAAAGGGACTAAAATTAAGCCTCAAGAACCACACTCATCAGACGAACCGCGGAATTGCTTCCACTTCACGTCTGTTTTCTGTGTGGTCATGGTATTACTGGGGGCGAGCCGGCCCTGCAGTGCTAACA